TTTGGTAATGCCTAGGAAGAAGGGCTCTCAAGCACTCTCTCTCTCTCTCTCTCTCTCTCTCTCTCTCTCTCTCTCTCTCTCTCTCTCTCCCTCCCTCCCCCTCTCTCTCACACACACACCACTATGAACTCCACCTTAAGAAGCATCAGCCTGCAACAACCTCCCCTTTGACTAAATAATCCCAGGAGGAAGAAATGAATTCCTACTTTCCCTTTTCAGGTACAGCTTGCTCATGTGTCCTGAGAGGGTGAGTTCCCAGTGGGAAGTGAGGCTGAGGACAGCTTTGATAGGTGAGTGGGACACTGTTTCATCCTACTACCCACGCCTCGGCAGGACTACAGTAAAATCGGTATTTGACTCAACCTGGAACTAAAATTAGTTTCCCGTTGGGGAGCATAGCCAGACCTCCCTCTGCTCAACTCCTGATAACAGGTTTCTGATCTTTTGATTGTCATCATCCAGGAACTCTAAAGCCACCTTTTGGGGGCGCGGGAGGGGGCGGGGAACAGACCCGTTGAAAGCAGGAGAAAAGGCGCAAACATAAGAATGTCTCCATCTGACATTCACAACAGCCCCAGCCCCTCCCTCTCTATATTGCCTGGTCCCAAAGAACAGATTCTCAACACCTCCAAGGACATGAAACATCAGGTTCTTAGATAACAAGAAGGGAGAGAGAAACGGAGATGGAAGTAAAGCCACTAAGAGTGAGACCTCCGCAGGGATTGCTGTTGTGGAATATTACTGCAACTGTGTAAAGGTGCACTACATTTATTTATGTTGCAGAATATTACTGTAACTATGTAAAGGTGTGCTACATTTATTTATGTTGTGGAATATTACTGTAACTATGTAAAGGTATGTTATACTTGTTTATGTTACGGAATATTACTGCAACTGTGTAAAGGTATGTTATACTTGTTTATGTTACGGAATATTACTGCAACTGTGTAAAGGTGTGCTACATTTATTTATGTTGTGGAATATTACTGTAACTATGTAAAGGTGTGCTACATTTGTTTATGCTCCATTTGCTTGACTATGTAAAGATGTGTTGCTCTTTCCCCTTGTCTGCCTAAGGCACCTGATTGGTCTAATAAAAAGCTAAATAGCCAATAGCTAGGCAGTAGAGGGATAGGCAGGGCTGTGGGCAGAGAGATTTAGTAGGAAGAGCAATCTAGGCTGGAGGGAGAATGAGAGGAGAGAACGAAGGAAAAAGAGAAGGAGACACCCAGGCCAGTCAGACAGGCAACCACCAGTCAGACAGACACAAAGTAGGGTGTACAGAATGAAAGAAAGGTAAAAAGCACCAAGGCAAAACATAGATGAAGAGAAACTGGTTAAAATAAGTTTTAAGAGATAGCAAGAAACAAGCCTAAGATGAAGTCTCCATGTCATGATTTGGGAGCCGTTTGGTGGCCCCAAAGAAAACTTGCTACAGGTTGCAGCTGCACAGATCTGGGATTTTCCCTTTGAACCCCAACAGGAACATCCAAAACGTGGAGAGATAAAATGATTTGAAAAAAGTCAGGGTTGGCGTCTGAGTGGAAGATCACTTGCTTATTAGCATCACCAAGACTTTGGGTTTAATCTACAGGAAAAAAAAAAGTCAGGGCCAACTCAGCCTGGTTTTTAGGCAAGAAGCAGTTGTGACAATTTCCACAGGCAAGATAAGAGAGTGTTACCTGGTACACTTGAAGATGCTTTGGAGGGTTGCCGCAGACTATGACAGTGCGGAGAGTCTCTGCTGGGAGCAGAGATGCAGAGAGAGGACCCTGCTAGCTACCTCTGCCTGCAGCTCTTTTAGAGGGTAGTGAACAGGGCAGATTCTGACTGTAGCATCACAAAGGTCATAACAGATTTCTGGAGGATTTGCAGGAAGCCGTAGCGCACGGGGGTGAGGTGATCTCCCCATTACATCCTTTACGAGCAGCAAGATTTCTCCTGCCTCATGCTTCAACTCATGTTTACTCATATATGAAACAAAGACTCACTTTTTAAAATAGCAACCCCAGTAGAGCAAATCACCCAAGAAGTCGGTAACTGAGCTAACAAAGATGCAAGAAGTAAACTGCCGGGAACAGCTGACTCTGCTCAGAGACTTCTGGGTATCCCTGGAGAGTAAGCAGAAACTCTTGTGTGAAAAACAAACAATCATTGGGTTTCTTAGCACCAAGTAATAATATCTTGACACCAGTCCAAGAGATAAGATACTAGACTTAAAAGGGGTCTCCAAATAATTATTAAGCTTACCTCCTAAGGTGTTGAGGTTCTTTTTCAAGATGTATATCTCAGTTAAATTTCATATCACCCAGACTCACAATGAAACAGATTTTACATAGTAAGAGGACACCCTCTCCAACAGCAAGGAAAACACAGTGTTATGAATATTCAACTGCACAATGTGTGCAGATTCTTGCCCTCTTAAAATTGTATGCAAAATGCTTGTGCATGTGACGATGTGTGTTTTCCTAGGCAAAGGTCTCTGTATGAATGTTTCAAAGGGACCAAAAAAGGAAGGGACTACTGAGCTGAGTATTTGAGGTGGCCAGCAGGTCTGCCCTAGGCTGACTTGCCTGGGGCACCAGCAGGTCTGAGGCCATGCTCTCCTTTTCCTCGTTCTTAGTGACCACGCATCACCCACACTATTCTTACTCTGTTTTTGTGAGCTCTTTGTCTCTCTAGCTGCTTTTCTTTTCTTTTTCCTTACATTTCTGCCAGTAAACCTTCATTTTTAGAGTGCAGATAAGCATCCTCTGATGCTTCTTGTTTTATCCTTTGTTTTTGAGAGGCAAAGGTGTTTAGCAGGCTGTATGTGCACCCTTGTACTTCTCAGTATTTATTGCCAGTTTAGTTTCTTCCCCACAACATGGCTTGTCCTAGTTTCCTTTATGTTTGTTAAGTGTCTTAGGATGTTGAGGACACACGTTTGATTGCTGAGGACATCCTCAGGAGCAATACACATGAATGCACAGACACCCCCCCCACACACACACACAGTCAGCCTGCAGTCTGCAGAACCTTCCAGAAAGCGGAGGTGCTTTGCCTCTTTTCCAGCTCATATTCGTGTCTAGAATATTTACAGCTCCAATCTGAGCTGAGATTTGCAAGAAATATTTAGAGCTTGCTCAGCAAGGCATTCTTGATCAGGCTCTATAAATGGGATGTTGGCAAATGAGCCATAAAGAAAGGCTAAAGAAAATGGTACTGCTTCTCCTTTACTGGCAGGTTACAGTGGTGTGCAGGATCAAAAGGAGGGCACCGAGGAGGACGGGGAGGCAGCGTGTGAGCCGAGCTGCCCCCTGGGCGTGACAGGGGAACCAGTGTGAGCTGAGCTGCCCCTGGGCGTGACAGGGGAGCCAGTGTGAGCTGAGCTGCCCCTGGGCGTGACAGGGGAGCCAGTGTGAGCCGAGCTGTACCTGGGTGTTTCAGGGGAGCCAGTGTGAGCCGAGCTGTACCTGGGTGTTTCAGGGGAGCCAGTATGTAAGCTGAGCTGCACCCGGGTGTGACAGGCCCAGGAAAGAGAAAAAGAGCTGGCAACTGCCAAGCCCTGGGAAGGGGTCCCCAGCCCACTCTTTGAAGCAAGAACCAAGCACTTGAGCATATTTGTCACATCCCAAATATAAGATGCAGGCTCTTTTAAACATCAAAGCACCACAGCTGGAGAGATGGCTCTGCAGCTAAGAGTACTGACTGCTCTTACAGAGGACCCCGGTTCAAGTCCCAGCACCCCCATGACAGTTCACAACCAGTTCCTGAGTATTTGATGCTGTCTCTGACTTCCCCAGGCAACAGGCATGTACAGGGTGCACATACATAAAAACATTCATGCACATAAATGAATCTTTAAAAAAAAACTAACAAAATGGGAACATGTGACTTCCATTCTTCTATTGTGGAAGATGCTTCATTGTTTAAGGGTGGAGACTGAGAAATTTAGTGCTTTTGTGTGTGTGTGTCCATGTATGTATGTGAGGGGTGTGTTTCTATGGGTGGTATATGTGCACATGGATGCTTGTCCCCATGCCTGTGCTGAGGCCAGAAGTGGATACTGGGTGTCCTGTCTCAGCGTTTCCCGTCTTATTCCTTTGAGACGGGACCATTCTCTCCACTTGGAACTCTATGCCGACACCAGCAAGCCCCTGCAATCATACTGTCTTCATTCCCCAGCTCCTTTCCTATCCTTCTGCTACCCCCACCATGGATCCTCCCGCCTCTACCACTCTCCAAAGCCCAGTGGTGTGTGTGTGTGTGTGTGTGTGTGTGTATGTGTGTGTGTGTGTGTGTGTGTGTGTGTGTGTGTGTGTGTGTGTGATTACACCAGCTTTTTACATGCGTTCTGGGACTTGAACTCAAGTCCTCAAGCATATGCAACAAGTGATCTTATCCGATGAGCTATGTCCCCAGCCCTTGGTTAGCTTTTTGCTTTCTTTCTTTCTTTCTTTCTTTCTTTCTTTCTTTCTTTTTCTTTTATTTTCTTTTTCTTTTTTTTTTTTTTTTTGAGTGTTCAAGACAGAGTTTCTCTGGGTAACCACTCTTGCTGTCCTGTAACTCACTTTGTAGAACAGGCTGGCCTCAAACTCACAGAGATCCACCTGCCCTGCCTCCTGAGTGCTGGAATTAAAGGCGTGCACCACCATCACCTGGCTCTTGGTTAGCTTTTTAAATCACTAAATAAAAGTGGGAGACTTAGTGGGGAAAGATACAATTGTAAGGAAAGCCAGGAGAATAGCAGACCATATAAAAATAGCTGAAATCTAGATATTCACACATAACAAGGTGCAGACATATCAACCTTCCAAAAACTGAGGCATGGATAAAAACACTCAAATTGGAAGATCGGCATCGATGTCACCGAGGCGCAAGAGGGAAAACGTGCAAGGAGCCGTATGAGCGGAGACCACCGCACCATGAACGCCTAACTTCTGTCTCGGGCCTCTGAGTGTCCGTGCCCACAATCGCTGACTGTGCCTGAGTCCTGCGCCCCCGACCAAGCTCCTCACCTCACTGCAGTCACCAGCTGGGATGTGTGGCGGCTTTGCTTCTTCATCTAGCGGCTCGAGCACTGTCACCTCCGCAAACTCTTCCACAGATTCTTGAAACTCGGGTAGAGATCTTCGCCCATAGCGCTTCCCACCTCTCACGTATTTGGGCTGAGCCTCTGGTGAGCAGAATGGACAAGGAGACAAGAGTTAAGGCCACGTGACAAGAGAAGCAGCCCCAGGCTGACACTCCTGGGACACGGCCTGTTGTATGAGCCCCCAAATAAGCCAGCCCCGTAAACCAGCTGCGGTGGCCGTGGGTGCATGTGAGTCCTCGGGTTGGATGCAGAGCACTTTCTACCTCTGATGGTCCCGGAGCACCAGCATCCGCGTATCCGCAAGTTACAGAAGCAACGGTGGCAGGGAGGAAACTGACTCAAAGGCGCAGACTGAGATCAGGAGGGCTGGGGATGTAGCTCAATTATAGGATGCTCGCCCAGCAATCACTAGGTCCCGGTTCGGTCCCCAGCCCCCTGTGAACTGGGTGTGCTGGTCATGCCAGGAATCCTGCACTGGGGTGGCAGAGGCAGGAAGTCCCAAAGCTCAGTGTCATCCTCAGCCATACACCGTGAGTTTGGGGCCACCTGGGGCCACGGGGAACTCCCTATCAAAAGGGGGGGGTGCAGAGGTGATGGCATTGGTTTTCTGTTTTTTTGGCTGGTGGCTCTAAGTGTGGGAAGGCAAAATTAGTAGAGAAAGTGGGGGGGGGGAGTCTAACCAAGAGACACCTTGAAGTAAGTCCTGGACCTTTTACAGTTCTGAAAAGTTATCGTCCACCTCGATCAGTATGAAACATGCCCCCCACACCTCAGGGACCCCTTCGTTAACTATTTCACTTTCTGATCTACCAGATAAGCAGAGCATCACACACACACACACACAAAGACACTGACACTGAGAATTCTAATCAACCATCGACAGCTCGACTTCGTTACAAAATAAAGAATTGAAAGCTGTGGAATAAAATAGTAACTGGAAAGCCACATTAAGAAAAATGGTACAGTGAAGTGGTGGTGGCCCTCGCCTTTAATCCCAGCACTCGGGAGGCAGAGGCAGGTGGGTCTCTGAGTTCGAGGCCAGCCTGGTCTACAGGGTGAGTTCCAGGATAGTTGGGACCTTTAATAGAGAAAGCCTGTCTTAAAAAAACAGACAAGAAAACCACACACACACACACACACACACACACACACACACACACACACACACACACAAAGAAAAATTGTATACTGCTTCTTCTGCTTTCAATGTCAGGGGCATGTAAATGAAAAGGAACGTGCCCAGGGTAGAGTCATCTGCAACTCTGAAGAACTCTGGTGACACCTCTTAAGTTCAAACATTACCTTCACCACCACCAACCCACACACCAAGCACCGTGTCTACAACCACCACCGCGACTGCTGCCACAGCCATCACCTCCTCCACAGCCACCGCCACCAGCAAGCCCCTCACTCTCTGCTCTGAAAGCTTTAAAGCAATAAAGATAAATACTTCACTCCGCTTAATGCCATCCTCAAGAGTTGTAAGCACTTAGCATAATAGTTGGGTAATAAAATATTCCATTAAAATACAACAGGCTGGCAATGATTTGCTGTCCGTTGCCTTACTGCCTGTGCCTATAGACACACTGACACACTCTGGGTCCTGTTTGAACACAAAAGTCTGAGCATGCTTCAGAACTCAGACACAAGCGTTTTAAATGAGGTGTGTAGATATATCATCAGGGCAAGCATGGGTGATCAGATATGAGCTGGAGGGATAAAGCCCTTCTTTTTCGCTCAGTGGAAGCATGGCTGGGTTGGAGAACTCTAACTTCAGCATCCCTGGGAGGGCAGATGACCCTATTTACGGGTCCACCTTCCCCCATGCCCTTCCTTGAGCACAAACTCAGATTCTGTGACGCTCACAGATGTGGCCAGCAGCATCCTGAAAATGCTCCGGAAAGCGAGAAGAGTGAAGTATTTATGACAGCTATGCAATTCCCAGCGATATTAATACACATATCTTTGTAAATGCCAGTCATGTCATTTTCTTAGATGCAGCGATTCTCTTACAGGAATATTTAAGCATACAGGCTTTGCATCGGTAACGGCATGCGCACTGGAAGGTACCTTTCATGAGAAGCGAGTGTGTCCGCCTGTGTGTATTCAGGAGCGGCACAGACACCCGAGCTGGTTGGCAGCTGACACCCACAGGTGCTGGTCAGACAGGAAGCAATGCAGAAGCATCCTTAATGTATTAGATGTTCTTAAATTTTAGTGGCAGACAACAGGATATGCCATTAGTGACTATGAGGGCTTAGGAAGGATTAAAAGGAAACCAGATAACCCAAGACTTTCCAAATATGAGAAGGAGGTTGTAGCTGGGGATAGAATGGGCAAAGGAGTTCTTACTGTGCATTGCACTGCTTCTAATATTAAAAATAGAGGAAGCGACAGTCTCTACAGATTCCACTAGGATGGAGTTCCTAAGCTTACCTGCGGGTGAAGTGACCACCTGACTATATCAACTCTCCATCTGTGACAGTAGGTAGCATTGTTGGAACCTAAACAGCTCTTCTTCTAAACAAAAAAGGTGGCCCATTGTGAACTGCCGGAAATGTTGTCGATTTGGGGGTTACTGACTTAACTTATGCTTTTTTAATTTCAGGAACTTTAAAACTTCTCAAATTATATTTTATAATAACCAGTTGCAAGCAAATTTTAAATTAACATCTATAGAATCTATATCTGTATATGTACATACATATGTGTATAAACACATACACACATATATTAACAGCCAGCATGTGTGTGTTTCCGGTTCCTAAGAAAATCTTACTTGAATGAAGATGTTAGCATGTAGTTAGAAAGGTGGATTATTAAGGATTCCCTGTCAGAGTTTCCCAGACTCTCCATGTAACCAATAAAAATCAGGCCCACCGCAGCAGTTAAGAATTGTTACTTCTGCCGGGCGTTGGTGGCGCACGCCTTTAATCCCAGCACTTGGGAGGCAGAGGCAGGCGGTTCTCTGTGAGTTCGAAGCCAGCCTGGTCTACAGAGCTAGTTCCAGGACAGTCTCCAAAACAATACAGAGAAACCCTGTCTCGAAAAACAAACAAACAAACAAAAAAACAAAAAAGAATTGTTACTTCTTAGAATCAATCACACACTCACACATTCCTGTTCTTTCTACTGACACCACCAGCATCGCTCAGTTTATATGAGGGGCGGAGAGACCCCTCAAGTAAGAAGGTCCAGAGAGGATGTTCACAGTCAACAGCCTCCACTGTGGTGAGCATTTGAGAACTATGCGTTTCTCCAGTGACGTCAACTGAGCTTCCCAAGTTAACAGCAGCAGTTCAAACAGGAGGTCACTGTGGGACTTAAGATGCCCTCAGACACTCAATTTGAAAAATGCAGTGTGTGCCCTTAGCACATCTCACAGAAGAAACTGCCGCCCTGGGGCACGGCTGATTTACTTTGGAGTGTACCCAGAAGTGACAGTTTCTCTGGGTTTCATTCTGGAACAACTTGCCTGATGCCAGATAATCTGGGGTCCTTTGGTTTATGGAGAAATGAAACTGTTTACACCTGGGGGCTTCCGTCAGCAGAGGCCCACGCTCCAAGGAGAGAAGTGACACAAGGCATGAAGGAGGACTGCCCTGTCTCTGGAGGCTAGGTTCTTCAAAGGACATCCGCGAGTCATTCTCTCCTTATGACATTAAGCATAAAGATAAATGGGGGGATGAGTTGAGGAAATGGCTCAGGTGTCATAAGCACGAGGACCTAAGATTGGGTTAATCCGCATCCACAAAGCTGGGCCCAGCTCTAGACAGGGAGGCAACAGAGGGCCCTCCAGCCAGCCTAGCTTTCCAGAGCCACACTCTGTGAAGGGACTGCACCAGGTTCAGTGAGTGACACTGTCTCAAAAAATCAGGTGGGGCCGGCGGTGGCCGTGCACAAAATAATCGCAATGAATGTTATCATCATTGCTGATATAGACAGCGATACGTTTATCCTGGGGCAACACATATTATTCTAACTTCGTTGCTAAATATTTTAACATGTATTATCCCCGTGAGTTCGAAGCCAGCCTGGTCTACAGAGTGAGTCCCAGGACAGCTAGGGTTACACAGAGAAACAGGTGTCTCAAAAAAAAAAAAAAAAAAAAAGCCGGGCTGTGGTGGCCTTTAAATCTAGCACTCGGGAAGCAGAGGCAGGCAGATCTCTGTGAGTTTGAGACCAGCCTGGTCTACAAGAGCTAGTCCCAGGACAGCCTCCAAAGCCACAGAGAAACCCTGTCTCAAAAAAACCAAACCAAACCAAACAAAACCCCAAAGGGGGTAAAGAATACCTAGGTGGGGAGGGACAAAGGAGAACACTCAGTGACAACCTCTGGCCCCCAGTGCAAGTGTACACACCTATGATCATGTATGATGCACGCACGCACACACACACACACACACACACACACACACACTAAATAGATAAATACATCACAAAATAAGAATAGACATCAGAAAAGCAGACAAACCTGGTCCCTCTTTGGGGGTCTCTTCCAGCTAGAATAGCTTAAATAAGGGACACGGGTCTGGGGCAGTCCCACCTGGCCTAGTTTAGATGTCTATTTTACTCCATAAACTAAGCATCCGGCTAGACGTAGAGAACGAAAGAGAAACTGGATTCATGCCTCTAAAGATGCTAGAGTAAGGTGGGAAAACTCACAGACTCTGCACACAGGAAAGAAAAAAGGACGTTAAGTAGGGAATTCAAAAGGTAAAGAAAAAAAGACCAACTCCTACTCATTTCTTTTGTGCCAAGGATACCAACAAAGAACATAGGTTCCATCTTTATTCTATAGTTCATCTGTCCCAAGAAGAGACACTCCAGAGATGAGACAGGTACATGGACGACATGCGACCAGAAGGCCCGGCACTTATAGTAAAACTAAGATTGAAGTACAGTGCTGCAGACAGTGGTACCCATTGTGGATGCACCAGCTTCAGGAAGAGAACAAATCTCATAGCCTTGATTCCTCGATGCCTCCCAGCGACATGAGAAACAGCCCTGTGTCTGGCTCACTCTCTCTCCCCCTTCCAAGACTGGACTGCGACCTCCTGTGTTCTGCTGGAACGCTCGCT